ACTTGAATTGCATAGGTTTCACTCACTATTCTGCCAACCTCGATCCATTGGATATGATCGTTGAAGCGCAATTTCATCCATCCTCCAACATGTTGTTTGTCTACAATAAATAAATAAACACAAATACTAGACAAACAACATTAGATGTAAATTGTTTGTAAATCATCATCAAAATAAAAGGACCCAACATTTCAGTTATTTTTATACTTTGAAATAACGTCAAGAGTGTTTGGTGAGAAAAGTGTGAAAGATTAGGATGATTTTTTGAGACACATGGTTAAGTGGAGTTTTCTCTAATTAACAATGTTGATTGTGGTTATTTATAATGTGCCCAAACTTGGAGGGGTTTCTCAAATTATATTTACCATAGCTGAGGTGTGTTTTATATTTACCATAGTTGAGGGCGTTTTTTTAAAAATTAACTCTAAAATCATATATGCAAAATTATATGTATACCAAATTATATTTAAAGCTAATGGATTACTCTTTCTCCTAAAGTATTATTAATGAATTGGTCAATTTTTTGGTTATTTATTAATTTGATAATTTGCGCTTACTGATTTTTTATGAGTATCTCTCTTTAAAATATTAATAGAATACAAGATACCATAAAAAACATATAATATGTAAAGATCTTTAAATTTAAAAAAATGTCTATTAAAAAATATTCTTTGTGATTCATCAAAAGTATAGAAATTTTTTACATAGATTACTCAAAATATTATCTCAAATTCTTCCTATTTTATCTGATTTTTGCCAATAATTAGATTGAAATATTAATGGGTGCTTAAAATTATTATATGAATAAATATTTGAATTCTTAGATTATTTTATGGATATTTTAAAACATTATAACTCGTCTAATTACAATATTTTATTTGATTGCTTCAAGTTACAAGATTTAACTCAATGTATTCTTTAGTCCATACCAAATATCGCGTGGGATTACATGAATGTTCTTCAGGTCTTTTAAATAAGCCATCTATTTGAATTTTTAAATTTTGAAATAAAAGTCATGCACACCCTTATTTTGTATATCCTTTATAAGAAAAAAAAGCTTCTGACCAAGTTAGCTAATTTGAAGGTGTAGTAGCTCAAAGAAAGAAAATTTTAAAAGTACGGTCATAAATAAAATAAACTTATAGCGAACAAAGAAATTGGATATAGGAAAGAAACCAAACTCACTCATGTGAGTAAGGGCAAAACACTTGTCTAGAGAATAAAACCATGCAATTAAAGGTACTAGATTAGCCTTTCCAAAAATAAAGAGATTTCTAAAACAAGGAGACTTCCTATAAAAACTAGCGGTTAAAAGATATCAAAGAATTTTAATGCATAGTTCAAGATTGAAGACGAATTCCTTTAACCCTAAAATTGATCTAGACTTGTATCCTGGAGTAGAGCACTTCATGAGATTTTCGAAAATATATTATAGTAAGGATTTATATAGTTGAGTCAAAAGATATGGTCTTCCAAAGTTGAACGTCAAAATCTGCTCGAAAATTACCCTTTTTTGCTTTAGTTGTCTTGTCTCGGTAGTCTCGTCTTAATTCACTTCAGTTGACCCATCTTGACATAATCCTATTTCTCCCCAAAAAACCTCAGCTACTGCCTCCACATCATTTAGTTACTTGCAATGTTACATATAGGGGTGTGCAACGATCGGTTCGGTTCGGTTTTTACCAAAATTTGAACAACCGAACCAAACCGTCTATAATTTAAAACCGAACCGAACTATTGCAAGTTGGTTCGGTTCGGTTTGTTCGATTCAAACTTCATCAAACTTCTTATCAAACAACAAACTGTGTTAAAGAAAAAATATCAACAAAGTAGAAGATTATGAAGCATTAAACACTGATATAATGATATTGTTTTCAACCCATAGATTATGAAGCATTAAACACTGATATAATGATATTGTTTTCAACCCATAATGATCCAGAAAATAAGTTTAGAGTTTGAGTATTAAACACTGATATAATGATATTGTTTTCAACCCATAATGATCCAGAAAATAAGTTTAGAGTTTGAGTTTTTGAGTCTTTGACTCTTTGGGGACGGGTCGGGTAGGGTTTGAGATCAGAATAGGTAGTATTGCACTATATTCGGTTGATTCGGGTTGAAAAGTTTTCAAACCGACCCGAACCGCCCTACTCATAAAACCGATTTTTTTCGGATCGGTTCGGATCGGTTTTTTCGGTTTGGACTGAACTATGCTCAGCCCTAGTTACATACACCACTTATACACCGTTGTTTTTTTCTTTTTTCATGTCTAGTTATTTGACAGTACTAGTAAGGAGAGCATGTGTGTTGCGCGTGCTTGCTCCTGAATGTACATCTCAATTTTATTCTCAATTTTCATAAGTTGTCTTTTCGTCTAATTGCTAATTAATTACTTGATTTGTAGGACTAATTTTAAAATCACTCAAAAGTCAGGGAACCTATTAACAATTTTGATGAACTAGGATACTAACTTCAAAGTAGCTTAGGAACTGGGGAACTGGACCAAACAACAATTTCAATAATTAGAAGGACTAACTACAAATATGAAAGATTTGAATGATTAATATAGAAAAAAATTTGTTATTTGGTAGCTTATATCATTTTGGTACCTTATGTTTGCCCACTCTTTCACTTTGATGCCTCAAAGTATTGTTCTAACACTTTGCCACCCCCAAAGTTTTTATCATGTTTCACTTGGATACCCAATAGTCGGGGGGGGGGGGGGGGGGAATAGGGTATTTGCTAATCTAATACGATATCAATGTCAAACTAAAACTAATTAACAATTATCCTAGCATATGAGAAGATTATGCAAGGATAAACAAGTAAACAATGGGTGAAATAAACTATAAAACAAAAGACGATATAAGATAAGCACAAGAAAAGAATGCCAATGCCAAACTCAAGCACAAGTTGTTTGCGTCGGGAATAAATTTTATTGCAAAATCCATTACAAACGTTTATCGATTATAATAGAAACAAAAGAGTGAGCTTTGTACTTTGTAAAACTTCTCTTTACAATAAAACAAGATTAAGAGTGTTCCCTAGAAACACACACACAGAAACTCTTGTTTAGCAGCCTCTGCTTGCGTGGAATATTTACCTGTGCCGGGTACGCGTTAGTCCGTGGACCACCGATTCACAGATCCGGATTGATCTGAAGAAGGCTTAGGGTCAATGTTTCATTTTAGAAACGAGGATAGAAGTGGATATCTCAACAAGGTGAGATAAAACACTCTTCTCAAGATCAAGTCAAAGCTTAGATCTCGAGGAAACACCAAAGACTTTGAGGGTTCCTTGAAAACGGTGCAAGAATCTCTCCAAAGTTCGCCAAAATACCAATTCTCTGCTGCAAATTAGCTCTCCCCCCGTGCACAAGGGTGTAGGGGAAGTATTTATAGCCACTAGAAGCCGTTTCTAAAGATAGGAAGTCGAAACAAACTTCATGTGACAACTTCTATTTCCGAGACAGTGTCCACTGTCTCGGAAGAAGGAATTGCTCCAGACTGTTTTGTAACGGACATCTATCGGTTTAAATGCCATGATTTCTACAGTTATGAGCGGATTTTCAGTTTGTAACGGCCTCCACACGTTTATGGATGATCCCAAGCGGTTATGAAGCCATGTGGACTACACCAAACTCGAGAAAACCATCCAAATGAGCGTTACATTGTCCCTAGTCTCCGAGACAGTTTCCGTATCATCGTAATATATTTTATTTTATCACAAATTAAAATAACCATTCTAGACATGTTAAAAGGAAGTGAACCTATCAAATTGAGGGGTTTTACTAATCCGCTTCTCCAAACGAGTTAAGAAAATTACCCTTTATTTATTACAAAAAAATTATAGTATTACTTGCTATTTCCAAATGCTAAAAAACAGCACAATGATCAAAGTAAATATTAATACAAATTTAATAATTTAATCATTTTCAGATTTAGAAATGAGTTAACTAGGTTAACTCTTCTTCTTAATTCATATTCCTTAAACCTTTGCAAACTGAGCCCCTCAATGAGTGATTAAGAAATAAATTTTTATTTATGAATAAAAGCAGTAGTAATCTTTTTTAACCCAACTCTAAAAAATCACACAAGGATTCAGATAAATCTTATCTAATAGTTTAACCAATTTAATCATTTATTTGGTCCTAATTGACAAAGCCTAAATGGAAAAAGAGATTAAGGAGGAGATTAAACTAGTTAATTCATTTAAACAGAGAAAAATTAAACTTCAGATATGATATATTTTAACATTGTGCCCGTCCTTAGCGTTGGAGAATAGGGGAACTATTTCTTAACCTCCTCTTGAGAGCCGAGGTAGACTGGTTGATCCCTCCCGTTAAGAGATTTAACTCTTTTTAGTAAACCACTTGTCTTAAGAGGTGAAGTAGTGAAATCCAGACTTAACAGTGAAATCCAGACTTAGGTGCCACATCTTTACTATCAAAAAAAAAAATGAGCAGACGGGAATATCACTCTCTTTTGATAAGCGCTTGTGAAATTTCATTAAATTTCCGTTCTCCACACCACATTTTGAAAATCTTGAATGGGATCATAGTATACATATCATTTGGAGGGTTCTCTTCCTATCCAAAAAAGTCTACGATAAGGAAGAAATTAGCAGAGGCAGAGGTTGGACAAAGAGCCAGCTAAATTCTAGAATTAAGTATGAACTCAGCAGTTCATCGGACTCGTGTTCAAGAAACCAAATTCCTCAATTCGTAATGCAGTACTATCACCATATTTCATAACAGTTGTAGTTAATAAAGCAACGTTAAAGTGATAACTGCTCGGCTGACTGCTAACGTATGGTGCCCTGAGGCTTATGATTTCAGCAGTGCACGCATGATAAATCTCCATTGCTGCTGCTGCCAAAAACTGTTGGACGAACCTCAGCCGAACCGAACGGCTCAGCATGCTTTATCCATCTCAATCTCTTGCAACTGCTAGCATCAGACAGAATCGCATCGCAGTGCACCAAAAAGCGCAAGTCTGAGCATAAACAAATAAACTTGACATTGTGCACCGACGTGCATGGAGCAAGACTATTAACAAGGAAAAAATATATAATTTGCTCAAAACAATTGCGGGGCCTCTAAATGTATTTGCACTCAACATCACAAAATTTGTATAAATTAACCCCTCCGAGTATTTAGAGCAGTGGAAGAGGGTGGAGAGAAAGGAAGGCCGAGAGCTCTGGCCACAAATGCTTTGTGATGAAAAACTGAAACTCGAGCAGCACTTGAAATCTTTAGGCTGTTCAAGCTGCTTCAAAATTGTGGATAATAATCACCCAACAAAAGCATCTACGATTTGACAAGTCAGAAGATCTCGGCAACAGCAAATCTCTCCCATAGCCAAGGCATCACAGTATCTTGAAGATCTGCTTTAACTTGACAACAAGTTTCCACTCTTCAATGGACAAGTCGTCCTACAATACAACAAAAAAGTAGTTTAAAAAGGCATCTTCCATTACCCTGCTGGTGTGCGCAAAAAATGAACATTTCTAATGATCACTCAAGAGAATGTTAAATCTATGGGGGCAAGTATTGTCGTCAAAATACAATGCAGCAGAATTTAGCTGCCTCAGAAACACAACAAGAAGCAACCTAGATTCGAGCCTCGAGGATGGAGATTAATGATAGTGGCCAATTGCACTAATCTACCAAGGCGTACGCACAGCAAGTTATAAGAAGGGTTCTGGATTTCTACAGTTTTTGAGGCTCCATCTGGATTAGTTTTTGGCAATATATGTCAGAGGGCTACATGTTCCAGAAGTAACCAGGAATTTTGCATCACGTCAAGAGGGCTGGCTTCAAATCGCATCCGTCTTACCAGAATATTAAGTTTGGTGGATTTTATAATCTGTAATACATCAGTGTCAAGGTGATTGCTGCAATGCTTAGGATAAACCAATAACAACAAAGCCTTTCTCCCAATTTTCTAGGGTCGGCTACATGAATTCTACTTTTCCCTTCAATTATTTTGGTCATCTCTTCTGTTAATTATAATTGTATCCTTTTTAATTGCTTCCAACCAAATTCTTTTAGAACTACCTCTAGATCTCTTTATCCCAGAACCTATAACCTTGTCACTTTTCCTAACCGGTCCACTAAGAGGGATTCATTGTACATGAACAAACGATCTCGAACGATTCTCTCCCATTTTATCCTCAATAGGAGGATGAATGCACTCATTTATGTATCCTATCTTTTAGCGTACAACGACAAGACCATTGTAACATTCTCATTCTGCTACCGTGTTTAGAATGTGAACCCAAATAGAATCCTGTCCCAGTGCCTTTCTAGTGAAACTGCTGTAAAAATATTGTGCAAACAATTGAAATTTTGAATCATATAACTTCCATAGTAAAGGATGGTAGTGCAGTAAATTTACCCTATAATCTGCCTTCAGTACATCAATTGATCTCCTCGTGATGTGACTAACAAGCTCATCGCCCATGTCAAAATGCCGGCCAAACATTTTCTGTTGTTCTTCGGGATTGCTTCCAACTATCTGCATACAAAGAAGAGAAGTCATTAATAAAAGAGCCATAGAATTTGTGTCACAACAGGTACCAGATATTCTCTCTTTACCTTTATAGCCACCTTCTGACCTTTAGTGGCCGTTTCAACAGGCTTGTGGTTCATCTCGATTGAAGCGATCTTTCCAATATCAATGAATTCCTGCGAAGGGATGCATATAGGGGTTCCCACCTGGAATCAAAACTTGCCTAGTTTAGTCTTGATGTAAAAAGAAAACGTTAGATAAGCTGAGATATCATAACAACATGATTTCTCAAGTTCTATGTTTCAGGGGTGTGCACATGCCATTTGAAACATCAAGCACTGTAAGAAGCCAATAATGTGGTGATGTCAACAGTTCTAGAATAGAATAAATGCAACAACAAGAAAAAAAGGGAAACAATAAAAATAGAAAAGGGAAAACCTTGAGAATGCCTTCAGAAACATCCACACCCAGAACAATTGGATCTTTTTTGTTGAAAACGCAGTTTGGCATGATCTTAAGGACGCAAGGGAACACTGCATCTTCAGCACTTTCCTTCTTCTTTTCTGCCCTCACATTGTCAATGTAAGCTTTGAACTGGTCAAACAGGTGGTAAATAATATCTGCTTCAAAAATTTCAACTTGTAACTCCTTGGCAAGAATCCGAGCATCCTCATCAATCTTGACATCGAAGGCCAAGATGGTTGCATATTCTTTCTTCCCTCTTTCTCTCATAACGCTAGCCTTCATAACATCCTTCTTATGTACTGGACCTATACTGAAATCACAAAAGGGAATGCTTACAGCCGGACTTTTTAAGAATTCTGTCAGTGCTTCCAAGGAACCAAGGGTAGAAGCCTGAACATAGACACCCTCTCCACTCTTGTCAATCCGGCTCATGACTTTATGCATATCTTGCATAACAGCTTCCTTGACCACTTCCAGATCATCGTCCGGTCCAACTACATACAAAGCAGTGCCAGCAATGGCATGATCGAGACCCTGAAAGCAAGCAAGTAATTAGAACACAACTCTTTTACATAATTTGAGAATGTATTAGTGCTAAACAAGTCATACCTGCGCAGAAATTTTGACACCCTGTGCAGCTTTAATCTCTTTATGATGCAAATATGTTCCCTGGGTTAAGCCATAAATAGAAACATGCAGTAGTTCAAAAAAAAAGCCAATTCATCTGATTTCAAGATTAGTGAAACTTCTACATACTAAACCCTATAATGTCAGTAAAAAACATGTACATTCCCAAAAGGAATCAAACTGCAACATGGAAAAAAAATATTTGGTAGAACTTACACGGTGAAAGCCACTGTGTACAAATTGAATGGAAAATAGGGGATGTGAGGAATACACCAAATTTGCAGAGAACAGGGAATTAAGCACTTAAGAGATGCATGCGTATTGACAATTAAAATCAGCAACTAAATGTCTGGAAGATTGAAAAATACACCTATAAGATTTACTCCATGAGGATGATAATATGATACAATACGCAAATGCAAGCAATAAGTGGGAAAACTATACATGATAAATACTCCAAATTGACAATTTCGATTAGATAAATCTCATAAATTTTCTCCATGAGTATCAAATTGTAGAGCGAGTTTTCTTGTTTCACGCAGTTCACTGTGCAGCGTCATAGAGAAAATAAGAAAAAACCAAATGCAGCACTGAGAACTAAAACATCAGGAATGCATGTACCAAGGCAATTTTCTCCAAGTGCATGGCTATTGCGGCAAGCAAATAGGAAACAGTTACCATCAGGAGGCCATGTTTGTCAAATTAAAGCCTTATTTAACCATTCATATACTCAAATGTCCATTATAAATCTATAATTGATATGATTACTACACCATGAATAGTGAACAAGGAAGCATTCAGACTCACGATTTATACAGCTGCTTTCCCATGCTTAAACATAATGCATGCACTCTAGCACAAGCATGATGTTACATTCACTCATAACTAAGAAGATGAGGGATGTCATGATATGACACATGGGGAAAACAATACATGATAAGTATTCTGACTGAGACAACTTTGTCTTGATCAATATGAAGCAGCTACTCCATGAGGGTAAAAAATTTAAGAGCAGGTTTTCTTGTTTCATGCAATTTATTATGAAACATATGGAGAATTAAAGGAATTTTTTTTTCTAACTAAGCCTGCAAAAGAGGTAGTTACACTAAGTCTATCAATTGAAAAGCACACATATCATGTAATTCAAATAAAATTAATCCATTAAAAGTTGTCTTTATTCAAACTAGTGTTCCGAAGCACGCGATCGTGCATGACACAGTACACTTGTGCATAATAAAAATGCTTTCAACCTATAATTGGACAAATGAATTGGCTAATGAGCAAAAATATACCCAATAAAGCTTAAAAAAGAAATTGACCAAGCATTACAACCAATTTGATGTGGCCCACTTCATTGGGCGCTAATTTCCCAGCTAGGTAGATTTGTTTAAAATGATACACAATATTTACATGTACAAACCAAAATCCAAATGTGTTTAAGTTTTAATACACATCAATTGTGTGCAAAAAGACAGTTCTTGTTAACAGTTAGTTCAAATCAGTGTACAACATTTCAAACACATAAAAGTTGGTATTTGGAAGCATTTCAAATTGTTTCAAAATTAAACAGCATAACTTGACAATTTAAACCGGTAATATACTATATGTCATTTTTAGGCAAGGTCTCATTGCCACCTTACCTTCTCTGTAGCTACTTAGTACCACAAAATATTATTTCATCGATTTATTGCTGGCTATAAAAATTATAAGGGAGAAATATGAAGACTAGTTTGAAGGAAAATAATAAGACAGTTAAGATGGAAAAGCAACAATAAATAATGTGCATCTATGCTTGTATTGTAATTAACTGGTAGAGTCTCCAATAATGACTTGACTAATTTAATGAATGCAAAAAGACAGTGATGAAGTTAATAGCATAATAGTAATTGTACTAGCATATTACATTTCAAATCAACAAACCATAGTCTGCTTGTCCCATAAAAAGCTTAAAGAGAACTACATTCAAATAACATAGTTAATTTAAACAATGACTCATGCAAGATAATCCTTATATACTTATACTTTTTATTCGGACATGTCATACAGGCATGGTCTAAATCCATCTTTCAGTCAAAAGAAAGAGGGAGGATAAGAAACAGATGAAAGGCAAACATGTCAAGAAAAAAAGTAGTTAAGCAGGAATAATGATGTGATTGCTAATTTGCTATTTTGGGCTGAATCTGTTAAATGTGTTTGTTCATTTTGTGGCAATGAATCATGGTAGGAAAGGATTGTACAATGATGAGGGAAATGGAACAAGAAACTGGAATGTTTGTCGCATAGTATTCTACATAATTAAGTTATATCAACTTTGTGAGCCATGATAATTTTCAATCACAAATATGCTGATAGAATAGCAAAACAATACAGATTGCAGTTGACGGGGAAAGATAATTCCTATATGATCAAAAAATCACAGTTTCATACAATCATATCAAGAACCATAGTATAGGAACCAACTAAGAAAAATTAAGATAAAGTGCTAACCTTAACCCGGAGTTCCTTCATTGGATGAGGCGTAAGCAAAGCTCTAATAGTGGCCATAATAGGTCCCTGAAAATTACAATGTCAACAAGACAAGATAACATGCAAGGATATCACTGGAAATTTACTGGGAGACGGCTGTACGTAAACATCACCTGCATGCCACAAACAACTATTTGGTCTCCTTCATGTAGAACACCATTAACAAGTACCACATCAATGGTTGTCCCCAGACCTTCAATCATTTTCACTTCCAAAACGGTGCACTGAGAACATGTAGAAAATCAAATTACAAGTGAGTTTTTGTAGCTGCTTTTCTTTACAAAGAACAAAAAGGAAAAGGGGAAAACAGCATAAGTGATAAGAATCATCATGCTGCGTCAAGAAGGAAGGTGGACAAACCTCCACTTCGTCAGAGTATGTAAGTTTCTCTTCCATCGTTTTCTGAGTCCATTGTATTAGTAAAAGAAGGAGGTCAGGGATTCCTTCACCACTGAGATAAAAAAAATAGTACCACATGTTAGGTAAGATTGGCCTCTGCGCATACTTTTTTATTAATGTATCATACTATCAAACCCAAATGAAAACACTTGCAGAATGCTACTATGAAAAAGAATTCATGCATACAAGCCAGTGCATACACTATAAATTGTGTTCATGCTAACAGGCATGTGTATGTGTGTGTGGTAATATACCCACCAAAACCAACATGGGTCAAGAACCTTTGCTTGAAAGACTTAGAAGGTACCTGATAGCACTAGTTGGAACAATGTTGAATGTTTCTCCCATCTCTCTATTTTTGTAGTAGAGAGCTGTATTTAGGCCCTGCTCCTTGAATTGAGTTACAATCTGTCCAAAAGAGGAAGCAGAAAAAAGATTATACACAATAAAGTACCAGTATTAGCTTAAGAATAAACGATCCCATTAGCTAAAAACAAACGAATGATATGTTACTCACTTGCGTAAGCCTCATATTGAACTCATTTTTTACATCATTAGATTGCTGTTTCATAGCCTTAATAATTGGTGCATTTGGACATGTTTTCCACCCATAAAGCCGATCCACCTTAAAAATATAGCAAAATAACATATTTGCTTAAGTTTATAGCACAAAATATCAATTTAAAAAATATCCTTTGAAATGAAAATTGGAGAACTCACCTTATTCAATGCAACAATAAATTCTGTATTGCGACTTTTCAGCATGTTAAGGGACTCTATTGTTTGCGGATCGAGCCCATGCATAATGTCCACAACCAAAACTGCAATGTCACATAAGCTTGAACCTCTAGATCTTAAATTAGTGAATGACTCGTGACCAGGGGTATCAATAACAAGTAGGCCAGGGACCTTAAGTGTCGCATCTGCCTTCAATTCCTTGGTCCTTTCTCTTATGTTTTCAGTTGGGAAGTAAGTAGCCCCAATCTGTTGAGTAATACCCCCAGCTTCTCCCTCTTGTACATTTGTGCGCCTAATGCAATCGAGCAACTTGGTCTTTCCAGTATCAACATGACCAAGAATACAACAGATAGGAGAACGAAGTTCATTCTCACTGCTCTTTTCTGATGTATCCTCTGAAGTTTTCACCTCTTTCTTTTTAGCAACCTCATTTTTCATCTTCACCTCTCCATGCTCGTTTGCATTGTTCTCAACATCACCCTTCTTTGCAGGTTGACGAGAAGCAACCGTATTCTTTGTCCGCTCAACCGGAGCAGGAGCACCTTTCTTTACAACAGGCTGTGCATCCTCTTCCTCCTTGTCCTCCTCGGCAAATGGACTTGTGGCAGGCAATGTAACATCAACATCATCCCAGCTCTTTGCATCCCATTCGTCTTCATCTTCATCCTCTTCTACAGCTTCAACTTCTTCTTTCTCCTCTTGTTTTGCTTCAATCTCCTCAACTTCATCGGCTTGAGATTGAGATTCCTCAGTCATGAAATCTTCCGCAGCTCTATCAACCTCAGGCTCAGCAACCTCCTGCTGGCTTTCTTTTGGCTTCTCAGCCTCTACAACCTTAGCTTTTGATTTCCTTGTCTCGTACTTGGGCCTTTTCTTCACCTCTACCAGAGCATCACCCACAGGAACCTCGTTCTGGCCCAAAAATTGCCTCCTCATAGCTTCCAACCTCCTCTGCTCTTCCTTCTGCTTGCCCGTCAAAAGTTTACCCTCCTGCTTCTTCTTCAAAAGTTTCTCCTTTTCCCTCTCCTTCTTCCTCCTCTTAGCCTCCTCAGCAAGCCTCTCCTCTTCCTCCCTCCTCAGCCTCTCCTCCTCCTCCTTCCTCAACTTCTCCTCCTCTTCTCTCTTCCTCCTCTCCTCCTCTTCCTTCCTTCTCGCAAGTGCCTCCTGCATCTCCCTCACATGCTTCGGTAACTTCTTATTGTCAGCAGCCTTTCCCTTCACAGGGGCTTCCTCTTTAACCTCAGCCTCTTCCTTCTTAGCAGCAGCTTTCTTCTCTTTCTCCTTCTCTTTCTTCTTTTTCTTCTTCTTGGCTGCCGCAGACTCCACAGCATCTGCTACTTCCACCTCCTTTTCCTCAGCCTCAACTGGCTCAGGTTGAGCAACCTGTAGTTCTGCAACTGGTGGAGGGACCGATGAACTTGGCGGGCCCCCTTCACCGAGCTCCGCGAGGATCTTATCCAAGTCATCCTCCTCCTCTGCAGTCCTACCAGTCTTCTTCTTCTTCTTCTTCTTGTTCTTTGAATCCAGTTCGGTTTCCTTGGACTCAACTTCCTTTGGTTTCACTGCTGCCGGAGGTGGCGCCTCTTCTACTGCAGGAGCCCCCTCGCCCAGCTCCGCCAGCAGCTTATCTAAATCATCCGCCTCTTGAGCGGCAGCCTTCCCGTTTTTCTTCTTCTTCGACTTCTTCTTCTTCCCGAAATCAAAATCAAGATCCTTGCTTTCCTCGTCCTTCTCATCATCCACACTGTTGTCATTAGTAATCTCGGATTTCTCTTCCTCCTCATCCTCCTCATCTGCCGTTAGAGCAAACTTACCGCCCCCAGTCTTCTTCTTCGATTTCTTCTTCTTCTTGCCAAAATCAAACTCAAGTTCTTCATCCTTATCACCATCCTCCTCCACATGATTACCATCATCAACAACCTCAGATCTATCATCGCCATCAACATCATCCTCATCGAGAGCATTGAGAGCGCTAAAAGCACTAATAGAATTCTTCTTAGATTTCGATGATTTCTTCTTACCAGATAAGACGAGAGTCGTCGGCACCTCGTCGAGATCGTCAGCGGCGTCGTCGAGATCGTCGTCTTCGTTCCTTTTCGCCTTCGAGTCGCTCCTTTTCTTGTTCTTCTCGGCATGCCTGGTGGTCTCATGCACTCCGCGCACGCCGCCGCCGGCGCCGCCGCCTGGGGTTTTTGATCGGGATCTTCAGGGAACGAGTACTCGTCGTCGTCTATAGCAACGGGTTTTTTACGACCCATTGTTCTTGTTGGGATTGAAGGTGTGAGGGCTTTGGGAATTTGGAGTGGAGAAAGTGAACAGAGGAAACCCTAGAAATAGTGAGAAGTTCGCGAAAATGTTTCAGAGAAACCCCCAAGTAATTAATAGATTAGTTTTTTCTATATTGGCCCCCCACATCTCATATTTTGTAATGGTCGCCAAATTTTTTATATGTTGACATTAAATCGCCAACTTAATTCGTCCCCCAAATCTTATATATATTTTTAGGGAAAAATGTTTTAAGGCCCCAAAATATTAAATGGGATGTGACTAGGCCCCCTTATTGTTTTTTGGGTGTCAAAGCCCAAATACAAGAACACTTGTGTTTCAACCCTTTTTTCTTTTTCCAAGATAACACAGTGAGCCATTAATTAGGAATACCTAAAATACCCTCAACTCTTTCTCCTTCCTCTCAAGACCTTTCTGGCTTCTCTCCCTCTCATCTCTTCTCACGCTCAAACCTCCGTGAAATTGGGCGGAGGCGACAACGAGAAGAAGCCGCCACCGTCGGTGAACGTGTGCGGACGAGGGAGATTTTGAGTACTTACTGTGAATTAATAATAGTAAATGGATTTTTTTTTGCAGTTTATGTGAATCGATTATGCCATCTGATCCTTTTTTTTCAATTTGCCCTTATTTTAAGGACATTCTTGCTGTAAAATAAGGTGAGAATCTGACAGAACTATGCTCGTATGCATATGCAGATATCCTTGATCATGACCTCAAAGAATTATAGCAACACAACATATTTATTGGTGATCTTATGTTGCCAACTAAGTCTTGGCATTTCATAAGTAAAAGGACTATCTTTGATGTGCAGGCATATGCACGTGAAATTGATGAGCACAAGAAAACTTTGCTTCTTGTTAATAAGGCTGATCTTTTGCCATTAACTGTGAGGTAAGTGGTAATAATCATCTTTCAACTTTCTTAAAATTGCTGTTTGAAACAAATTAATACTAAATCTTTGATCTTCAGACAAAATTGGGCAAACTACTTCGACGCTTATGGAATTCTCTTTCTATTTTGGTCTGCTAAAGCTGCCTCCACTTCAAAGACATTGGGCTGATGCCTCGGGCGACATTCGAGTCCACCTCGAGGAGGAGGACGTTGTAGTAGGTTGATGTTTGGAAGAAAATTGGCAACAAGACCATTGAGTGCTTCTTTTAGTTGGTTTTTGTGATTTGCATGTCAAAAGTGTCGTGATTGCCGTAGATGATGATGATGATGGATTGATTGAATGGTGTTCAATGTTGTTTCTGATTGTTGTAATAGAAATGGGGGTTCAAGGTGTAGCAGATTGAGTAACAGTGTCAATTTTCTTCATAACGATTACATGTTAACTCTCACTATCGTGTGTTAAATATCATAGCTATATGTTAACTTTTACCAGAACATGTTAACTATAATAATTATATGTTGACTTTTAACTGAACGTGTTAACTATAATAATTATATGTTGACTTTTAACTGAACGTGTTAACTTTCCTCCTAGTATGTTAACTTTTCATACTGTATGTTAGCTTTCGCTGCTTTATGTTAACTTTCATCCAAACCTGTTAACTTTCATTGCTTTATTTTCGTAGAAGCGTTTAAAAAACCTGTTAACTGAACGTGTTAATATGTTAACTTTCAACTGAACATGTTAACGTTCACCATAATTGGGGATTTCTTCTTCAATCATCTCGGAGCTGCTTCCCTTTTCCCTTCTGCTTATTCTTTATCCATTCGTCGAGCTTTGGGCAGTCTTTCTTCCAATGATCAGTCTCCTTACACCAAGCACACTGATCTTTTCCAATTCTAGACTGTGACTTCCAATTCTTTCGGTTTGGACCCTTCCCTCTCACCATAATTGGGGATTTCTTCTTCAATCATCTCGGAGCTCTTTGGCTTGGCTAATAACCGATTACTCAGTTCAAATCAACTCTTTCATAAGAGTTATAACTCGTCTAGAGTTCTCGAACTCGATAAGAGTTTTTTCATACTTGCCACGCAAGTTTTCCTCAGTTAGAACTTTCAGATTTTTTTTAAAAAAAATAGAACTCTCTATATAAACAACAGCTTGCATATGAATCTCCATACAACCACTATTTTGGGTGCCTCTCAGATTTATATATCAATGATAAATCATCGTGAAGGACTTTTAGTCTTTCAAACACATCGAATTTTAGTTCAAAAAAACTTGTTATGAAGAAGCTAACATATTATTATGAAAGTTAACATGTAACAGTGAAAGTTAACATACTATGATGAAAGTTAACATGTTTAGCTGAAAGTTAACATGTTACGAGGAGAGTTAACATATAATGATGAAAGTTGACATAATTTATGAAGAAAGTTAATATATCATCTGGGAACGACTACATTAATTGTATGCAGTATCAAAACTCCATTGCATCAAGCCGCTTATATTTGAAAACCAACATGTTCAGTTGAAGAAGAAATCCCCAATTATGGTGAACGTTAACATGTTCAGTTGAAAGTTAACATATTATGATAATCGTTAACATATTCAGTTGAAAGTTAACATGTTACGAAGAAAGTTAACATATTATGGTGAAAGTTAACATGTAATAGTGAAGGTTAACATATTATGATAAAAGTTAACATGTTACGAAGAAAGTTAACATATTATTATGAAAGTTAACATGTTACTGTTTACATTATTTGTCATCCACATCAGAAAATACAATAAGAATAATAAAGGTCAAACTTGCTACATTGTTTGTCATCCACATCGACTGTTTACACAACTAAACTAAATATACACAATACAGACATGCACACAAGTTTTGGTTCAACCAATCAATTTTTAGAACAACTTTTTCTCATCCTTATCAAATGTCTCTGCTTGATTCTTCTGTTGTCATCCTTCTATTAGAAGTTCAGCTGCTAGCCTCCCACAAATGACATCAGATTCAGCATCGGGAGTAGTTACTTGATTTGTATTCACCCCAATCGGTTATAGCCTTCACATATAAGGGAAATAAAATTCCACAATCAAAACTACATGATATAAAGTAACAAACTAGTTAGATATATGATGCCGGATAAAATGAAAAAGATCAAATTTGTGAAATATTAACATTTCAGACTGTCGCTCGCAAGGGACGGCTTTAACATACGATCAAACATGTGTGACAAGAGAGATGACGGAATATGAATATCATGTAAAAGGATTTCTGAAACTAGTTTCATAATATAAAGATTTGGGGAACAAATTTCAGAATATAAAAATTTGGCGAACTAATAGCGAAACACCCTACAAATATTTGATCCCTCTATCTAACTTCTAATACCAATCAACCTTATTTTCTCCTTCAAACGTCGCAAGAATTATCATCTTATCAAATCGTACCCCCAACGAGAGCCCCCTTCAACTTTTCAAGAGTGCTCACCCAAGTTACAAGTCATCAAGAATTTACAACTCACCCAAAAATATCAATCGTACAATCAAATTTCGACCCTTGATTTTCTTCCTTCTTCTCTTAGATATCTCGATTTTTATCAAGTAACCCGGCAAATATAGAAGTGAAATTCTCTTAAAGGAAGAAAGGGGAAGTTTCAATTTCAAAATTAAAACGATACAAACCCAACCGTGACAGATTCAAACTCACCAGGACGACAGAGACAATAGAACTTCTCATCCTCTGCTCAAGGAAACAAAAATAAAGCACACATCTTTATTAGAAATCTCTCAGAAGTAAAAAAATTTCCCAAAATCAGAAAAAGAAAATGTAACAAATCGAATCCATAAAAAATTTACCGATGGTGAGAGCTTTGACAAGGGCAGTCCATCGGCCCTTGTAATCCCTGAAGATGTCTTCGAGTGTGCGAGGGCGGAAGTCGACGCCACGTGCTTCCATTTCCTGCCTCGGGGATTAGGCTTTCTTAGTCGCCAATGTTTTTTTTTAAAATCCCAGAATGCTCGGAGGATGAAGAAAAGGGTTTTAGAGGGAGAAATAGAGGGAGCTTATTAGGTGATACCTTCGGTTTTAGAGGAGGTTGAGGAAGAGTAGATCGGCTTCGGTGTCGGTGGCCGCGGTCAGGTCACCTCCGAGGCGGCAGGAGGTATCAGTGATTATGGAGGAGGATGGGATCCAGAGCGCCATCGAAGCAAATTTTCCTCCCTCGTCCGCACACGTTCACCGACGGTGGCGGCTTCTTCTCGTTGTCGCCTCCGCCCAATTTCACGGAGGTTTGAGCGTGAGAAGAGATGAGAGGGAGAGAAGCCAGAAAGGTCTTGAGAGGAAGGGGAAGGAGTTGAGGGTATTTTAGGTATTCCTAATTAATGGCTCACTGTGTTATCTTGGAAAAGGAAAAGGGGCTGAAACACAAGTGTTTCTTGTATTTGGGGCTTTGACACCCAAAAAAAATAAGGGGGGGCTAGTCACATCCCATTTAATATTTTGGAGCCTTAAAACATTTTTCCCATATTTTTAAACTAGTCCCTCTAATTAGCATCAAATTGAACGAAGCTCTTGATATATATATATATATAAAACAGTATATTGCACAAAACTACTCTGAGCTCTGTGGTTTTGCATAAAATTATTATAATTATTTTGTTGTAGAAAAACTTCTATCCCATCATATCATATCATATCATACTCTCTTTTAAAAGTACGAGTTCGAGAAAATCTTTACATTGTCAATATTACCCTTGATTATTTTAATATTTTATTTAAATTTTAATCTATTATAATCATAATTATATCTTATTCTAATCTCATGTGAACAACTTGCAGGTCAACAATCTAAAGATTAATATGGTATAGTATATGAAGTATTACAAAAAAACCCAAAAAGCTTTCAAAATTGCACAAAACTACCCTTAAAAGTTTAAAATTACACAAAACGTTCAGACGTTTCAAAACTTAAAATAACAAACATGAAATCCTCAATATTTTAAAAACTATAAAAACATGCTCAAAAGTTCAAATAATAAAAAAGCACTCTGAAATTTTGAAATTTCAAAACTTACGAACAACAAAGATGAATTCAATGAATTACCATCAGGCATTAAAAACTTAAAATTTGTTAAAAATAACCTTAAAGTTATAAAAATTATAACAAACTC